ATGCTAGCGGCATCTACTTATGGTCAAAACACCCATGTACAGCAGTTGTTTTGAACGTCACGCAATCTACTCCGAATTGCGGGCTCAGTGGATCCGAGGTTTGCTGGAACCAGTAAGAATTATTGACCAGTTTAGGAAACGCTCTTACTGTTGTCGATGTGTTTCAAAGCACCGCGAGGGAAACAAACTCTTAGGGACAACTATCTATCATCTTTGTAAAATACTTCAATGTCAACATGATATATTCAAACCCGTTGCGAGTGAGCCTTTCGCTAGTAAAGGCTAAATTTACCTCTTTAAACTGCTCCATTGCCAGAAGAAGGGTGGTTTATTCCCCGGATAAAAAAAAATAATTATTTATTCGATGTCTCACAAATATTTCGAATTTTCAGGTTCAACCCAAATCTGTTTCATAATTATCGATTGTTAGAAAGATAAACTTACTATGATTATCTCGGCTATCTTTATACATCAAGACGAAGATGGTTAAACACAATCTGGGTTGTGCTTGAACTATCGAATTAAAAATGCTTCTCTATGAAAGAATTAAGAATGCCTGTAAAATCACCGATTCAGTTGGCTGGATCGTGAACTTTTCAACCGTTGGTTAGCTAATATTAAGATCATGACTATGAGTCATATTTTACTTAATAAAATCAGAGTTTTGTAAGTTCGACTGTCCTATTTTCTAACTCTGATGAAGTGATTTATGCTCAACGATATTTATTTAAGCTTCTGCTGAAGAAAATCAACTTCGATTTGAAAACTAAAACAAAAGCAAAAGCAATGGAAATTTTTACGGTAATGTTGAGTCGGTTGTATTTTACGTATCCCCTGATTTTGTAATGTCTTTTTTCACCTTTATTATAATAAACTGTATATTAAACTGATCTAGGACTCTGTAAAATGGACTCACAACTAGGAAAACCTTTAAAATTGAATACGTACTTCTCAAATCTATTTTCTAAAAAGCAGCTTCTTGCATGAAAAATGCAGATAAACTCTGATCTTCTACATTTCTAACCCCTGAAAAACAATCGACATGATATTCTGCTAAGAAATTTAGAGTTTGTGGCAGTGTTATGGAGCTTATAAAGACGGAAAGCGCCATGGTAATTATATTGAAGAAAAGTAACCCATCCAAAAACGTTAAGCTCAAAGAGAGTATTCCTCGTAACATTTATAATTCTAGGGACAGGAAAGCATACAAAGATTGATAGACAAACATTTCAAAAAATGCCTTATGATGTAGAATTTGTTGTAGTTTTGTAGATGACATTTCATTCATTATTGCAAGGTTATCAGATACTATTGCCCTAGCTGTTGTTGAATTTATTCAGAATTGGGCCTTAGTATTCAGTACGTTACTGTATATGCATGATCTACTTAGACTACATGTGAATTATGATTGGACCATTTGTCTGCAGTTTTTACACAGAAGGACTAACTACACTAAAGCTTGCAATATACTAGCTGGACATCTCCAAATTATCAAAGTTAAATTTTACATAAAAAATAAATAAAAAAATAAAGAAATGAAGAAATAAATTAAAAATGTATCTGCTACATTTTATCATGATTGCAGCGTTAATTCGTATCATAAAGGATCAGTTTAAGGCAATTGGGCACTGGTTGCTACAATGGTCTGGCTAAAAAAACCTGGACCTCACAGTTTACTGCAGTTGCACTTAATAGCACTGATTTCATTTCTTCAAACTAAACCTTGAATAGTATATTTTTGTTTTTATGATTGGCTTCCTAGCCATAGTCACACAGGAAATTCTTTCAAGGCCCTCGCTTTGTACTAAATCTATGACAGTGAAACTTTGAGGATTTAAAGCACGTCCAAAATTGTCCCCTTTGTGGTCCATAACATTAACATGGGACGATGATAGGCTATGTCACAGAAACGACTTTTGAATTTGATGATTTTTGCAAAAGAAGGGTTTAAATACGTAAATAAATAATTTAATAAATAAATAAATAAATAAGGTTCCTGCAAAACAGTTTACAAATGTCATTTATTGAAGGCAATGAAATTGAAAATTTGAAACATTCTTGTCAAAATAACAACAACAAATTTGATTACAGAAAAAAACTATATATATGTACTTGAAGCAAAAATGGGTACTGCCAATAGCCCTTTTTACGGTTAATTTTTTTCATTTACATTACAATGTAATCCAACGTTGATAAGAGGCAATTTCGGGTTAAAACTTACAAAATAGCCCGAAATTGCCTCACATTCATGCTAGATTTTATTGTAATGCAAATGAGCAAAGGTAACCGTGAAAAGAGCTATTCACTGAATCTAACTGGTCCATATATGAGTCATATATGGACCAGTTTTCTGCACTCGACAATTTTCCAAACATTTTATAATGACTGGATGTATCTTTATTATAAACGTTCCTGTCATATTATTCTATGTAACGGTTATAAAACGTGATATTTCCTGATAATATCTGTCATAGAAATACCTTACTTGTTGCAAACATGACTCACAATAATCGAAATTAATTGATACATTTAGCATTCATTTCCCGAGATACATAGTTAAGACTGAGTCTAATTCAAGTCCATTTCTCAAGCAAATTCCTTTGAAGAGTTTTACCTGCAAAATCAGTTCAACACCTCAATAACTAGGCCATGCTAATTTGCATTCAGCTTATTAGAAATGTTCCATATGCAATCAATGCTCAATTCCTCACAGTGATTTCTGATGGCACGTCTCTCTAAACTGGCATCTTTGAGTGCTGTGATTACACGCCAGGGTTCTCTCTGGAAAGAATACACTGCAAGAGGGCAAAGCCTGGTTCAGATCAGAAGGAGGTTCTGTGCATTGAATTGGCTTACTAAACCTCTGCCATAGTGGGACTTTAGAGTGCTCAACTGGGCCTCTCTCTGACATGTTAATCATCCGCAGCATGATGCTTTCCTCCGTAGCTTCCGGCCCATCGCTGCACAAAAGAGCCTGTTTATCTAGAAAAAAAATAATTTTTCTCTCGGTATATAACAAAAACTAACGATTGAACTTCTTCCACGTATGGAAATTCATGAGATAATAGCCACACAAAGAGTGTTGACTTAGGAGGAATAATTTATAACATCACTAAAGGCTTTGTAGCTTGGGCAGTTGCACTGCAATAATTTCACTCGTCCTATTTCTCTACAAAGAGATATGGGTTTGCAGTGTACCTTCATCTTGCTCAACGGCTTCCTTTCTGGGTCTGCATATTTTTCCAATCCAGTAAACACATACTCGTACTAGCCGTATTATAACGATGCGAGCTTTTCTCACTTGGTTGCAAACAAAGGACATGTTAGATTTGCGAACCTCGCT